GATGCTCACGTAATAATAATAATAATAATATGCAGAAATTTATAACGCGCCAATTCAAAAACTTTCAAAGGCGCAATAAACAATTAACACAATTAAAGCGATTTTGTAAACAATAAAGTTATCAAATTAGATTTAAATGAGTTAAAATTTGAAGATTGCCGAACAGAAAGAGGTAAAAGATTCCAAAGATAAGGTGCCTGAACAGAAAAAGATATGATATATGTCCTACAGTCGAATGACAGAAACACATTATGCTATTATGTATCAAGAACAAAGCCCTTTGGATCATTGTGCTGAAATGGTAAAATAATCGAGGTCTCCTTTCGCCCACTGCTGTATCCGACACTGACCTCACGGGTACAGCTTTTCCTCTCTGTTTTTTTTGTTTGTTTTTTGTTTTTATTTTTAGGCAGGACTGACGACTGCCCCTCCCACTCCCCTTCGCTGATCCGCCCCTGAATGTTATTGCAAGGTTTTGTCTGCAAAATTGTTTTAGTAAAATTTTAATGACTGAGAAAAGTAAGTTAAGAAAGTCGGAACAAGTTCAGTGCGCGTAGTTAGGCCTATTTCTTTTACTTCCAATTTATGATCATTATTCTCGAACAAAAATGTGGAATCTTTGATCGCAATTAATTTGTCTTCGGCAAACGTGATACATGTTATGCATTCGATACAGGTACTGTGTAAATACCGGTCATCATCGGATGAAAACTTTCTCTAGCAATTAAGGGCTCCTCCAAAAATTGATGTCGCTTATATCATATAATCAAACCGCTTATCGTGTTGATGTAATCGTAGGTGTTTCTTTAAGAACAAATTTAAATAGAGAAAGCCAATGTGGTAAACAGGGGATTCATCTTCAAAGTCTAGAGGTATCGGATCCCAAGAAGGAAATGCCATGCCGGCATCAACTAGATGCAGGTCTCCTGGTTTTGTAAGATCGCGAGCTATATTGCATAAATGGCTGTTGTGATTATTCAAAACAGTGCAGGGTGCAACCATTGTGGTATACATCATAAACAATTGCGTTCAGTAAAGGGGGCACCCTTAAGGTGCTCCAATAATGGTCAAATCAACACATGGCCTATATCACCCCTATTAAGGATACAGTTTTTATTATTTTATCGTATTGCAACATTCAAAATAAGAAAAAAAAAATTATTCGACTTTATATTTTGACACCTTTTTATTTTAGCAATAAACTAACAACTGTTCACAATTTCTCTCCTGAATTCTTAGAATGGATATCGGTATTATATGTCTCTGCCTGTGTTACTTGGTATAAACTAATCTTGTCAATTTTGACCTTACCATGGGCATTTATTTTTCCTTATCTTTATTGTACTTGTATAATGCTTATCCATACCTTTACTCGATTCATGCTACTCTATCTCACAGAAGGTTAAATGTTTAAAGAACAGATATTGGTCAACAACATTGCATCATGAAATAATATTGGAAACACAACATTTGTTGATATAATTAAATTTCTATTTGATTTCATAAGTGTAATTTGCAATATAAGATTCAATGGAAAACTTTTTTTCCACCCGCCCCTGTATTCAAATTTTTACAATGTGACAGCAAACAAACAAGTTTTTTTTTTAGGCCTTTAACTTTAATAGGCTAGCACTCTAAACCAATAGATTGAAAAGAAATGAAAAATGAGTGAAAACCGTGTATTGCAAATCAGACAGGATATAAACGACAAAGAAGTTCAACGTTATAACCTACCGTATTTGCTAAGAGTCATTGAAAATATATAGTTCGTACTCAATAAGTCCTCTTTTTTTTTTATTTCTCTTGAAAATGCATAGACCAAATTCACGTAACACTGACCTATTCTCTGTGCCCTAAAGCCAAGGCAATGGTACTAAAAACGGTTTCATTCATAGACTCTCCTATAACGATAGTATTACTCGCGACGATACCATTATTGATATTTTTTAAACAGTATTTCATACGTTCAAAATCAAAGTTGCTCATTCAATATAGGCCTTCTTTCAGTTTACTAGGAACTTGTATTGTTATCTTTATTATTTATTGTATGTTTCTTGTATTTTACTATATATTATATATTGTAGGCCTATGTGTAAGACATCTTGTAATGGGCAATACCGCTGTTGGAGTAGTTCAAAGAAAATGAAATGAATGAAATAAAACTTTTTATCTGCATTTAACCTTAATTTGACGTTTTAAAAAACGATACTTCTGCTATGTTCGGGAAACAGATTGACCATAATTGTCGTAGCATTTTATATAGAAAAAAAAAACTTACCTGCACTAGTTTTTCCGTCCTTTTATGAGCTGGTTAATGCTGAGACAACTGCTATGAGGATTAGTATCGAAAACAAAGGAGACGGTAAGACATATACAGTGTCGTAGCTTAGGTCAATGGGAAAAAAACGTAAAAGGTCTTAAGGTGAAAGCCATAATAGTGGCAAAGGGAGTGTTATCGAAAGTAATCGAGCGGCACGAAGTTGTCAGTACCGTTCTTTATTGAAATTGTTCTGACCGGACCTTTGTGCAAAAGAATAATTTTGCCTAACAATGCCTTTTGAACAACCACTGCCAAAAAAGGTCAGTTATCTTACAAAATATAGCTCAAAACGTAGTAGGTCTAATTTAACTGAGGTCGATCTTTTCTGTTCCAGTGTCATCCAGTAACCATAGTCAATTGAGGCCATCATTATTTTGTGTAGAGGCTATTGTTTTGTGTTAATGCAATTTTTCTACAATAAATTTTGTTATATGACTTGAATATAAACATAGGCCTATTAGCCAATGCACATCGTAATATGATGTTTTGTGTGTGTTTTGTGAATAACGATACTGTTAGTGGTGGCGGGTAGTATTTTTTAATGGAAGGTTGGTTAAAACAAGTACATGACTTGATGTCTGATACTAAGAAATCCTTTAAGAATAAGTAACGGTATCCATTGTACATCCATTACAAAATAATTAATATATTGTTTCTTTTAAGGAATTGAAGTTCCCTCTAATAGAGAAAAATACCACTTTAGTGCCGGTCCGTATAATCATGGAGGAATTAGTTAATTTCTCCATGGTATAATTAGAGGGATTCTATTTGACACCAAAGACGGTTTTGCAAACCAAACTGAAAATTACTACAGTGCTTTAAAAACAAAGATAATATATAATCAAAAGCCGTGTTTTGTATATATACAGTGCTTTGCTCCGATAGCGTTATAGTATTATTGATGTTTGTGTTTTTGTTATGTATATTTGGGTAGCGAGCTAAGGACTTGATGTGAGGCTACTAAGAATTAGGCCCTATATTAGGAATCAGTAGGCCTAATAGCACAATTATCCATTCTAAAACACTTGGAATAAAACAAGTTAAAACGTAATGAAGAATAAAATTGTATTCAAATTCATAGCATTGTATTTTATCCAATTCCCATGTAAATGAGATTGCAATAAAGATTACGTAAGGTTACGATATTATAAAAATGATTTTAATGCAGTTTGAAAAAATATATGATGATGACATTTTATGCATCAAAAAGTATACACAACATAAGATGATGTTTTTATTTGTGTATAGGCCTACAGTGCTCTATTGAATAGCTTTACTGATTGTTTTAGTAGGACCATGGTGGAATTAGTTTAGAAGAAGATACTAAACTAATTCCTCCATGGTAGGACGGTGTTAGAATAATCATGGAGGAATTAGTTTAATCAATTTTGGTAGCGAGAACGAGCGCAGAGTGTGACCTACTCATCATAGGCCTATAGTAACTGTCCATTTTAGGCCTAAAACATTGTAGCATAGAACATCTTACATTTACAATATCATTTCCTTATTATTATTTCTATAAATAAAGGTAAAAGTGAGGGAGATGAAGCAATGACAGAGGGCGGTGTTCAAAATGGCAGCCAACTCGGAGTGCACTGTCTTCGGAAGTGGTGAGGTTTTTGCAGAATTTGATTCCGTTCCCAGTGCTGAATCTGCTCCAAATGCTGAATCGGTGAAGAAAAAATCAAGAAAAAAGTCCGCTTTGGATAAAAAGATTAGTCGACTTGTCGCTGAGAATATCCTTTAATTGATATAAAATGGGTTGAGCATCAGTTAACTCAAGCCCTAGCCTAGCTAGGCCCTAGGCCTATGAGGCCCCTAGGCTAGACTAGGCCTAGTGCTGGTCTAACTACTGTCCTGTTACTTAGCCGGGGATGTAAGTTAAAACGATGCCCCGCATTGCCGGGAGGTGGGCGGGACTTCCACATGCATGTAACCGTTTCGGAGATTACATCCCCGGCTAAGTAAGTCCCCGCTAGGCCCGGGTCAGGGGGGGGTGGGGGGACTACAATTGACAAGTGCATAAGCCTAAGGCCTACTAAACTAAGAAAAAGTAGGACTTGTAAGGCTAGCTTAATAGGTGTCTAGGCATGCTTGAACGGGTGCATACCTTTATGAAGCGCCAAATGTACTTTCGCTATTTAACAGATTAAACATAATTCATTATTTGATATATAATTCAGAATTTGTTCATTATAAAATATACATAGGCCTAATTAGTTTTGACTAACAATTATATAAATAATTAGTGGAGCAATGAATTATTTACTGTATAAATAATTTTAAGTAGAAAAACATAAATAATTGAAGAGCTGAAAATCATATATAAATAATAATTTTACTCATAGTCATTATTTATTATTAACAAATTTGTATATTTATAAATAAGGAAAAAATCGCTCCACCAATTATTCATACAGTATTGTTCGAAGAAAACTAATTATATATATATAATGCATGTACATCCATTGTATATAAATAACGCTGTGGCTAGAGATACTGTACCGTATTTCTACTTCAATTTGCTAAAGGTACAGTAAATGGCATTACGTCACCATCACCCAATGAAGTGCCAGAATGTGCATTTTTCAAGACTGGCATTGCATATTGCAGATCACCCGCGATGAGCGGTGAAACGAGAACGATTTACAGTACAGTACTGGGAAATTCTTTGCTTGGCGAAAAATCTAAGCAAGCAAGGCCTGCTCAGCCTTGCTTGGATTCTGCTTTTCGCGACAGCTGCTCTGGTGACATTGATCTGAGTGGCATAGGCCTATATCAGTCATAAATTTAGCCTAGTTCCTCCGTGATCATACCGTCTGAACTTCATAATCCCTACATCTCAAGTTTTAGTCCAAGAAGCTCGAAATAATACCACGCTTTACAATCCCACCAAAATATTCATACAATTTGAATGCGCAAAACCTGTCTCTTATACACATCTAGATGTGTATAAGAGACAGCCTTAGGCCTATGAGGCCCACTAGGCTAGGCTAGAGCTGGTCTAACTGCTGTCCTGTTACTTAGCCGGGGATGTAAGTTAAAACGATGCCCCGCATTGCCGGGAGGTGGGCGGGACTTTCACATGCATGTAACCGTTTCGGAGATTACATCCCCGGCTAAGTCCCTGCTAGGCCCGGGTCAGGGGTCGGGGACGGGACTACAAAATTGACAAGTGCATAAGCCTAGGCCTACTAAACTAAGAAAAAGTAGGACTTGTAAGGCTAGCTTAATAGGTGTCTAGGCATGCTTGAACGGGTGCATACCTTTATGAAGCGCCAAAATGTACTTTCATTATTTAACAGAACATAATTCATTATTTGATATATAATTCAGAATTTGTTTTATAAAATATACATAATTAGTTTTGACTCTAACAATTATATAAATAATTAGTGGAGCAATGAATTATCTACTGTATAAATAATTTTAAGTAGAAAAACATAAATAATTGAAGAGCTGAAAATCATATATAAATAATGATTTTACTCATAGAATAGTCATTATTTATTATTAACATCGTATATATTTATAAATAAGGAAAAAATCGCTCCACCAATTATTCATACAGTATTGTTCGAAGAAAACTAATTATATATATATAATTCATGTACATCCATTGTATATAGCTAACGCTGTGGCTAGAGATACGGTACCGTATTTCTACTTCAATTTGCTAAAGGTACAGTAAATGGCATTACGTCACCATCACCCAATGAAGTGCCAGAATGTGCGTGACGTCATTTTTCAAGACTGGCATTGCATATTGCAGATCACCCGCGATGAGCGGTGAAACGAGAACGATTTACAGTACTGGGAAATTCTTCGCTTGGCGAAAAATCTAAGCAAGCAAGGCCTGCTCAGCCTTGCTTGGATTCTGCTTTTCGCGGCACCTGCTCTGGTGACATAGGCCTATATCAGTCATAAACTTAGCCTAGTTCCTCAGGGATCATACCGTCTGAACTTCATAATCCCTACATCCCAAGTTTTAGTCCAAGAAGCTCGAAATAATACCACGCTTTACAATCCCACCAAAATATTCATACAATTTGAATGCACAAAACTTTTCGTAGGGCTAGTCTTCGTCACTGTTATGGTACAGAATCTAGGCCTAGATCGAGAGAATGAGTTTCCCCTTCGTGATTATTACTATTGTGTCAAATTTTTCCAATAATTTTGATGCAGACCTTAAAACAGTACTACGGTATATAAAATGCTAAGAGGCCTTATGAATCTTCTTGTTTAGTATATTCAGTTTTCAGTGCTTGTCATGTCACAGGTGAGCAGTGTGTGACTAGCGAAAAAATGTACTTGATTAGCAGATGATTAGCTAGGCAAAGATAGAATACAGTATATTCTTATAATACTTTCATAGAAAAATGGCATACCACTCAATAATAAGTCATGTCATTTATATAGCCTTATCAAGCAAGGCATCATCCTCAGGACTCAAGGCACATGTATACACACACTACTGCTAGTCTTTGGTAATCTATTTATACTGTACTGTACATGATCGTTCTCCTTCCACCACTCATTGTGGGTGATATGCAATGCCAGTCTTCAAAAAATGACGTCACACACATTCTGGCATTTCATTGGGTGATGGTGACGTAATGCCATTTACCGTACCTTTAGCAAAACAAAGTAGAAATATGGTACCGTATCTCTAGCCACAGTGTATAAATAATGGTTTCACCTGCAATTATATAATGCTGAAATATAATTAATAATTATATTAACAAAATATAAGTACATAATGAATTACAGTATATGTATACTGTATAAGTACATTTGGCACCTAGAGATTTGTTCATTATGTACATATAATTAGTTTTTCTTCCAACAATTATATTGTTAACCAACGAATTCAGTCTACGGGCTGCCTGTTGTGCACAATTAGTGCACCCACCACCACAAAAAAGTGGAAATTTCAGAAAAAAAAAAAGTTTTTCTTTATTTTTATTTCGCCCTCTTCTGCTTGAAATCGCCAAAGATAAAGTATGTATTTCTTCTTAATTATATAAATTTTACATTTACCAATAACATTTTATTTTTATTTTCTCCTCCGTCTGGATGATATTAGCAAAATTATTTGCTAAATAAGAAAAAAAAATTTATATTTAATTTTATTCCGCCCTCCTCCAACAATCTTTAAAAAAATAAGTATGTGAAACAAGGAATAAAAACAGTCACGCCGAAATAAATGTACATGGTGGTGATCACTACCTTGTTGGAGTAATTTTATATGAAAAATGTGTGGATTCATGTATTTTCTTCTCAATAAGTTAAGGTGCATAACATAAACGTAATGATATTCTGAGAGATTTTGTCAACTCAAAGAGGTCTGTAGGTGTCGGAAAGTTTCTCTGCATAATTGTAGGAGCAGCTCAGTTTTTGGCAATTATCATGTCCCTAGTTATATGTCTAAGTGTCAGCTGGGTGCTTTGGTCGCCTATAATTTAGAGACGTTCTTAGACCACTGAAATCACAATTGTGTGTGTTTTTTTTTAATCATCTTCCTTGAGTGTTTCTTTATTTTACATGATACATTGCATCTTTAAAGTAAGACCCATCTCTTTTAATTTGAAAGTCAAATGTTTACAATTATATATTATGTAGTCCATGCTTTTGTTTTGACTTTAAACAGAACACACTCTCTATATATTCTCAGCTTTTCTTTTAATAACCAATAGTTGTATGCTTATACTTTGTCCCCAATATGTGTTTTTCCATATTAGAAATATATTTTCTTTGGACCAAAAACCTTTCGAATCAAAGAACCTTGGAACCAATGCCCTAACTTCGCTTAAATGACTAACTTTTTAATGAAATTTTAAATATTCTTTAGTAGGTAGGCTTAGCTTAGGCCCTAGGCGACCACTTTCTTTATAGTGCATACTCACTTTTGCCGGTCTAAATTTCCTCTTCTGCACTTTTTAGTGATTTGTATTTATTAATTCCTTAAGACTATTCTTGTTACATGAGCGACTCAAAGAAAAATTGAAAATGATTATTCAACCAAGGTAAGTAGTTGTACGTATACCTTACTATTATAGTATACCATATTAGTTTGATCGTTTGATGAAGATTCAATTATCCTGGATGTTAATAAAAGTATAAACTTCTTAAGATTGCTGTTAGTATTATCTTTACTATACCGTATTGTTGTTTGTTAGAATTTTTGATGTAGAGTTGATATTTGAATAACATCTGATATTGTATTAATATTAATACAAGTTTTGATTATCTAAAACTTTTGTGTTATTTGATTTTCGCAGAGGCGTACATATAGAGGATGGCAGGTACGATGGACCTATTGCCCAAGTTATGTTCATGAATCACAGTATAGTAAGGTAATGTTACAACTCATCACATATCAACACATGCACTTGAAGTATGGATGTTGCTTGGTGGTCTAGTATGCTTACCTGTCAATCCCAAGGTTTTGGGTTCAAATCCTGTGACAGCACATGATTTTTTTTTTCTCATGACAAAAAAAACATCTCCACTCTCTGAGCCACATAATGGGACTTAAAGCATCAATTTTTTTTTAAATTTACTTAGGAGAGTCCTGAAAATCAATTGACCTTCTATGATATACTTGAAGAAGGGTCATATGACATGAATATGCATGATGTGCCTATATATGGTCATGATGATGTCATCATGACCATATTTAGGCATTGTTACATGTTTTACACACACACACACACACTATTAATAGATAATTCATTATTTCTGTAGAAAATACCGTCAGGAGATAGAAGATTTCTTTGAGGAACTGGCTCAAAAACATATCGAAGGCGACCACCAACAAGAACAGAATTTTCCACAGCCTCAGGTAGGCACATGTCTACTTCTACTCAATGTTGTGTCATGTTGTGAAAAACTTACAATTTGCATGCCAAGTATAAAGATTTTATAAACATACAAATTGAACTTTGACCTTCAAAAGGGTTCAGAGCTTGAGTGTGAGAGGGATCACATTGCTTGTACTAAGCCTGGCCACAGTCAATACAAGATACTTTATATTTTGTCATTCATTGATATTTGTTTTCCTGGTGATTAAAATATTTTCATATGGCAATTACATTTGGCTGTCTTTTCATCCAGTATTAAAAACTGGTACTTCATTACAAGGATCTGCAATATAATTCATAGAGAAAGTGCCTTTTATTTCCAATGTAGTCTTCATCGGTGAAGCTGTTGACAGATGTAGATCCTGAGAAGAAGGAGGCATTTACAGCCGTTGGGAATGTGCAATTTTTTAACCAATTCTGTATCGACAAGATTGGAAAACCTTTGTTAAATGGAAACCCTCGATTAACAGTTGGATGGTGTATTCCGGAGTATCCTATACAGTTTTTATTTGTAATTGTTATTTTGTAATATTTATCGGGCAGCCAACATTATTAAATTTTTTAATGAAATTTCCAATTCATGCTATAATTGTACTGAATGTTCCTGAATTTTAGTGTGTTTGAATGAATGTTAATAGTAAGGTTTATACCATTACATATTTTGAGTCAAATAACAGACTGACGAATTCTTTCATAATCACCAGCTTTTGATCACAATGTGTTTTTCCATCAAATGATTTTTAAAGATACAGCCAAATGGTAATGGTATTTGATATAGCGCCTTTTCCAGAGGATACAAAGCGCTGTGGACTAAATGTAACTTGTTTCAATTGTATAAAAGACCATCCAAAATGTTAATGATTTTCTAAGAGTACAAAACATATGCTGAAAGGAAGGAGTAAATTATTTACTCTATTAAATTTTTGCTTTTGAACAGGAGGGAAGAGGTTTCAGTATATAGTATGTTTTGTATCTCCTAAAGATAGACCAAAATGCACAATATATTCGTACTTATATTATGAAAGATGTTAACGCATATAATCAGATAGGCACGATTATATATTGAGATTTTTGAAAAGCGTAAATTGTATAAATATATTTTATTCCTGAACACTAGTAGCTATGAGCAGATGTTTTCAGAATCCCTCCCAGAAGATGATCAGCCAAGTGGCAAGAAGAAAAGACAAAAGGCATGTTGCTTCAACTGTGGTGAAGATGACCATGGTGTCCGTGATTGTCCACAGGTAACTGGCTCCTATCTACTGTACATAAGTCAGTGGTGTACATGTATCTAGGGGTGTGGGGAGTGCCTGTAGCCTGTAATTTCATAACGAACTACCACAAGCCTGCAGTGTTGGCACCAGCAGTAATCCTAGGGCACTTGACGTCCTCTGTCAGGCACCCTGGACCTGTTGAAGAAGAAATGCCCAATTATTTATTTTTTTTACTAGCATGGAATTCTGACTACTGTAAGGCATTTTCAGACCAGGTCACATATAGTACTATAATTATCATGTGAAATGCTTGGAATGAAAAAAGTTATCTAAACTGTGTTTCACGATTTACTGTTCTACAGCCACAAGATCTGGCAAGAATTAGCATGAATAAAAAGAAGTTTCAGATGAGTTTGCCAAACATTCCAACATCTAAACGGTATCATTTAGATGAAGAGAACGTTGAAAAATTCAAAGCTGGAGTAGTAAGGTATGTGAAGCTTGGCAGATAGTAGCACGCTTTAAATGCAAATGGCTTGATGCGAACTGCAGCTGTTTGATGTCTAAAGGTGGTCAAGCGACAAGCACTGAAAATATTAAATAGGATGTATTTGTCAATTTGTCTAAAATATATTTTTATTGGCTATTACCTTTTGAATAGGGATTATTTTTCATATTTATATTATTTTTATTTTATTCATTCTTGCAAATACATAATTATATAAAAACTTTACCATATAACAAAATATCAGCATTGCATTTTGAGCGAGAGAGCAGCAAAAGCGAAACCAATCTCATCTTAGACATGTACTACTCCCATTAAAATGTCATTTTATATTTTTATAAATTTTAGGAAGGCCTTTATTTATTTATTTATTACATTTTAGGATAAAGGAAATAAACAAGGATAACCAAAAGTGTTTATATTTCCTCAAATCTCATTGAAAACATAGGTTGTCAATGTTCTTTACAATATTGTATTACTTTTGAAAAATATGTCACGAGAAATGAAAAAAATAAATTGTGTTTGTCGAAATGCAGTGAAGAACTAAGGAGCGCTCTCGGACTGAAGCCTAATCAACTACCGTTACATATCTACCAAATGCGAGTGTATGGGTATTCACCTGGACATCTTAAAGAGGCTGAAGCTGTCAAATCTGGCCTTACAGTGTATGATAATCATGGTAAGATACAGTGGCATAACACCCATAACTCTCAATGGTGGGGGGTGGGGGAAAGCACAAAATTAAGAAAAAGATATTCTTTGATAGAATGGGTTCCAGTCCTAAAATTGAAACTATTAAAATTAATTAATTTTGGCACCAATGGCTTTCCATACTATACCAAAAACAGATGCTGGTGGCGCTCTCCAAACGTCAATAAATTAGACTTGCAGCAAGTCTACCTTCCAGTCTACCTTGATGAATTTAACGAAGGGTGAGTTGATGAATGGTGGTGTAGGGCAAGATGAGAATAATGTTGTTGATGATTATGGAGAACAAGATGAGTAGAATAATGATGGTGAATAGAATGTTTGTATGGTGCATTTATGGAAATGTGAAAAAATATATCGTATACAGTATTATTGTGGTTGACAATGATATACATTGACTCTTTTAATGTTATTGTTTTACAGATGGAAGTGTTGGTGGTAGGCAAACAGAGCAGCAGCCAGATTATGACCATGACAAATTAATCTGTTTCCCAGGGTTCAACGTTGATGTACCACATGACATGCATGATGTAAGTACTAATGTATTCCCAACCCTAGTGTGTGTGTGTGTGTGGGGGGGGGGGGGGGTCACCTGTATAAAAACAATGAGTGCTCTAAAAAGACTCCTGCTCTACCTATTTGACTGAAAACTGGTAACTACCATTTACAGAAATCCCTTCTACACTACCTTTCAAAATATTAGAGCCATTTAAAGGGTATATTAAAAATCGAACAAGGTGCCGTTAGCCATCGGTCATCTGTCAGCACATGCGTGTCAAAAGAAATGAACTGAAATAAACCTGAACACATGACATTTTACACAGAATTTCACTACCACAGCATAGAGTATATCTGTGCAAGCGCAGTATACAAAAAAATTATTACTTCATTATTAAATAACTATATATTTGGTAAGAAAGTATAATACCTGTCTCTTATACACATCTAGATGTGTATAAGAGACAGTGACCATGGTGTCCGTGATTGTCCACAGGTAACTGGCTCCTATCTACTGTACATAAGTCAGTGGTGTACATGTATCTAGGGGTGTGGGGAGTGACTGTAGCCTGTAATTTCATAAC